TAGTCTGATGCATCCAGAGGGTGCCATTTTGGAAACGGCTGTTATAAGATGCAGAAATAGTATTGTCAAGTCTTACATTCAAGGATTTCCTCAGAGTTCATTAGCCATAGAAATCTGTGGTATGTTTACTAAATAGCTAATCATACTAGAAGCACTTATTTTTCCACCATTGCTAGCCCTTTTTTCCAACAGAAATTTTATGCCTTTAACAACTACATGACATGCAAAAATGTTGCAGATGATATTCAAGAAGAGCATAGTTTGATCAGACCAAAAGCTTATGTAGTCCATCATCTTCTTGCCCAAATTGGCCAACTAGATGCTCAGAGGAAACCCACAACCAGGGCAGAAAGGCAGTAGCCCTTTATATTTCTATTATATAGCGATTGATATTCATGTTGCCTGTGAACCTGGAGGTATTGGATACAGCCATAAAGTGTATTAGCTATAGAGAGCCATATCCTCCTGTCAGTGGCCATCACCATATGTTTAGGAAATGAATTTAATAGCTGAACTCTGTACTGTATAATGCAGTTCCTATTCTCTGTCCTGAATCTCCCAAAATTCAATTTAATTGGATGATTCTGGAATTAGGAAAGAAAACCATATCCATGTTCTCTGCACTGTGCTCATTCTTTACAACTCTAGTAAAATTAACTTACTTGCCTTTTTCCTATGCTAAACAGCCAAAGTGTTGAAGTCTTTACCACACAGAGTTATCCCAGACCCCTGATCATTTTGGTTGCCCTTTTCTTTACCTTTTCTAGCTCTGTAATAGACTTTTGGAGGTGTGTCAACTACCTAGTATTCCTACTTATACCATATATTTGAATAACAGCATTACAATATTGATCATTTTATTTTTGCTCCTTTCGAATGATCCTAAAAGGGACATTACCATTTCCACAGCTGCAAAACTGTGTATTAATGTTTTAATTGAACTATCTGCCATAAGTCCAAGATCCATTTTTATAGTTCACCACCACTAGCGCAGAAATGAGGATGTTTTTGTTCCATTGCACATTCCTTTATACTTGCTAATACTGAACTTGCTGTTCTATTGTAAAGTTAAACCATTTAGCGAGATCCTTTTGGAATTGTTTGCAAAAACTTTTTATCCTTACCACTCTGAATAATTCGGTGACACCAGCAAATTTCTCCATCTTACTTACCCTCAGTCCCAGAACAATTGTGATAACAAGTAAGAATTGTAATACAGACCCAATGTCTTGCTTTATTTATTTATGTAGACTGTTGGTATAGCACTTGTGTACCACATCCAAGCAGATTCTGGGGTGAGGAACAGTGCAAAGGTAAAACAAGTATAACATTAAAAACAAGATAGCATTAAGACTATGGATGATCAGAAGGAAAGGCTTCCAAAACAAACTTGTTTTTAGAATGATGCTGAAAATAGCACAGTGTTGATACCTACCTGAACTCCCAAGGCAGGGAATTTCAAAGAAATAGGGTCACCACACCAAGAATCTCCTTGTGGCCTGCAGTGATGCCACGGGACCATGTGGAACTGGTAGGAGAGTGACTTCAGTGACCTGAGTGACCAGGCAGGTGGGTAAGGAAGAAGGTGCTCTCTAAGATATGCTGGTGACTGGTCTCAATTTGCTCAGGGCTTTGTGTACTGGTTCTAAAACTTTAAACCTGCTTCACCAAAGGAGTTGCACACTGGAAAGAGGCAATTCCCTGCAGCAGCTGAGCTGCAACTTTCTGCACTAGCTGCAACTTTCAGAGCAGCCTGAAAAGTAGCTCCAGATAAAATGTATTGCTGTAATCTAGTATTGAAGTTAACTAGCACCTGTTTCACTGTGGCCAAGCTATCTCAGTCCAGAGGCCATAGCTGTTGAACCAACTGTAGGTGGTAAAAGGCATTCTGAGCTGTTAATGTTATCTGGGACACCAACAACGGCAATAGATCTAGGATCCCAGATTATGAACCTGATCTTTCAGAGGAAATGCAATCCCTTATCTGGCTATAAACATATCTCTCAGTCTCAGGAACCACTCACAGAGCTTCTGTCTTGCCAGAATTCAGTTTCCGTTTATTGGCCATCATCCAGCTTGTCAATGAGTACAGCAGCCTGATTCAGTTGTCGCAGGATGATAGAATTGTGTGTCGTTAGTGTTCTCCTAGTATTTGGCTCCAAATCCTTCAATGACCACTCCCATTGGTTTCTTATACATATTAAACAATATTGTAGACAGAATGGAACCTATGGAGCCCCACAGTTCAATTGCCAGGAGTCTGAGGAACATTACTCTCTGAAATTGACTTAGCAGATAAGACAAGAATTGTTGAAACAACGGTGCCTCCAATACCTAACCCATAGAGTCAGTCTAGGAGGATATCAGCATGGATCAAAAGCTGATGAGAGATTGAGATTTGAGATTGAGAGGAATGGACAGGGTTGAACTCCCCATCCCTCTTAAAAGAAGTTAATCCATCAGGGCAATCACAGCTGCCTTGGTTCCATAACCAGGTCCACAGCCAGACTGAAATGGATCAAGATAATCAGTATCCTCCAGGAGTGCCAGCAGTGGCTCCACCACCACCCATTCAACTACATTACCTGAAAGAAGGCTTTTTACAATTGAGTAAAATCTCTTTGGATCCAGAGTGGGTTTTTTATATTAAGTTTTATTCAAAATAACCCTACAACAAAGAAAAACTAAAAACAACATCAATCATCAGAAACATTGGACCTGTCGGGTCAGCCCCCACATTTTTTTCCATTTGTGATAACTTAGAAATAAATCTATACGAAGTCCCGTTTCTCTAGCCAATGATAAAAAGAGTACCAAGTTTGATAGAAATCAGTACCTTCTTTCTTCTTCAGTGACAAAGTCAATCTATCCATTTCTGCACAGTCCAAGATCTTTTTTAGGATCAGTTCATCGGTGGGTGGTTCTTCACTTTTCCAGTGTTGAGCGAACGCAATCCTTGCTGCAGTAATTACATGTAAAATCAAGTACATTTCTTGTTTACTAATATCAACAGGTATAATGCCTAATAAGAAGACTTCAGGTTTAAAAGCTAGGGATTTTTATAGCATTTCCTCAAGCCATTTATGTATTTTAATCCAATATTTTTTCGCATTATCGCAAGTCCACCACATATGATAGAAAGTACCCAATTTATGTAAACATTTCCAACATCCATTTGACATATTTGGAAACATCTTAGCTAATCTATTTGGCAACATACCATCTATAAAACATTTTATACAGGTTTTCTTTATATGAAGTTGCTAATGTTACCTTAATATTTCTCTCCCACAGCTTTTGCCATTTCTCTAATTCAATATTATATCCAAAGTTTTGTGCCCACGTTATCATAGTTTCCTTAACCTGTTCATCTTCCATTCTCCTATCGAGTAAGAAATTATATAGTCTTTTAATCATTTTCTCATCGGATTTAAGCATCACCTGATCAAATGCTGTTAAAACTTTATAAAAGCCCCACATTTTATAGTCTTTAGCATATCTCGATTGTATCTGCACCTTATGCCACCAAGAAATATTAGATCCTTGTTCTTGTGTTTCTTGATTCAATTTCAATCCTCCATCATTATCCAAAATGTTGTTATATCTTATGATCCCTTCAAAGTTCAATGTATTTGGATATACAAGAGATTCCATAGGTGAAAGCCATCTTGGTAATTTATTATACAATTTTGTCTTTAACTTTTCCCACACTGACATTAATGATATTAAGTCCTAATATAGTGACTTAAAAAAGAGCCATGTAACTTAGCTTTTCATACCACATATAAGCATGCCAACCCATTTGCAAATCATGCCCTTCAAGATACAAGATTCTCTAATTTCTTAAAGTTATCCATTCTTTTAGCCACATTAAAACAGAAGCTTGATAGTACAGCATCCAATCAGGGAAACCAAAGCCCCCATTCTCTTCAGCCTCCTGAAGTATTTTTAGTTTAATTCTTGGTTTCTTCTTTCTCCATATAAATCTTGAGATTTGAAAATTGAAATCATCAAAAAAATTTCTATCAGTTTTTATGGGAATCATTTGGGATAGAAACAAAAGCTTTGGTAATACATTCATTTTGACTAGTGCTATTCTTCCCAGCAAGGATAATTGCAAATTAGCCCATTTTTCCAAATCACTCTTAATATCCTTAAATAGATTATCATAATTGTCTTCTTTCAGAGTGGTACACTTAGCTGTAAGATAAATTCCCAAATATTTAACCTTTTTAACAATCTGAAAGTCTACTTGTTCCACCAGAGTTTATCTGCTCCTGTGTGAGATTTTTTACTAACACTTTCATTTTTCTCTATTTATTTTCATCCCAGTAACCTTGCCATATTCTTCAATCCTTTGTAGGAGTTTAGGCATTGTTACTAAGGGTTCCTTCATTATGAAAACTAGGTCATCTGCAAATGCTTGCAATTTATAGCTTTAATCTCTGATTCTAGTACCTTTAATGTTGATATCGTCCCTGATATTTCTGTTTAACACTTCTAAGATCAATATAAACAACAGAGGTGAAAGTGGGCATCCTTGTCTTGTACCCTTTTGTATATCTATATTTGTAAATTCTCCATTGATTATAATCCTAGCAGACTGCTTTTGATAAATTCTTGATATTGCATTAATAAACTTTTCACCAAACTCCATTTGAGCTAGCTGTTGCTTCATAAATTGCCAGTTAACATTGTCAAAGGCCTTCTGTGTGTAAGGCTTGTGCCATTGGTTTTTCCGTATGTATCTCATAATACTCTAATGTCCAGGATAGTTCTCAAGTTGTTCCTCATTTGTCTTTTAGGTGAAAAACCATTTTGATCCGAGTGAATAAAGTCTGTTAGATACTTCTTCAATCTCAGAGTGGGTTTTTTAAAGGAATGGCTGCACTCTTCTCTAAGGACACCAGGAACCACATCTTCATGGAAAGATGCATTTACAACTTCATGTGCTCAACCTGGTTAGGCCCCTGGGCTAGCTTTTGTTAGCAGGAAGGGCAAGATCAAGAAAGCATATGGTCAGCTGCATTCTTCCACTGTAAAACATCCATTTTTTACAGGCTTGCTTCTTAATTACCGATCCATGATTACAGGATCTCATATTATCTCATGCTATACACTTGCATTTATTTGCCAAATTTATGCTCTTTGTCTCCTCATTTGGGCAAATTTTATTTTCTGAAAATGTACTTTAACATTTTCCTTGAAACATGCTGGCATCTTCTTTCGCATGATGGTACCTTCCCTGATCTATTGCATACATTCTAGCTGGGCTTGTGTTCATGTGCCTTTGACTAACTTCCAAGCATTTTGGAGAGATTTGTCACTCTTGACTTTCCCTTTCAACTTCCTTTTTACCATTCACCTCATGTTTGAGATGTTCTCTCTTTTGAAATCCAGTGTGACTTGACCTTTTTATGTGTACTAAGTTCCTGCTTATCATGCAACTGTTAGAAGCACAGGAACCCTGCCAGGTTGTTAGTTATGCATTTCACATTTTAGCTCTACATCTTAAACTCAATGTGTAAACGTCTCAGGCATTGTAAATGATGACATTCCTGGATAATTCCTTCAGTCTTCTTTGAGTCCAGGCTCTAAATCAAGAGTGGAAAACCTTGTGTCCTCCAGATGTTTAGAACTACAGCTTTCAGTAACTCTGGCCAGCATGGCCATGGATCACGCTTGCCTAATCTTGCTCTAAATGTATTTAGAAGTCATCCCATTCTGTATTTTATTATTTATTTATTTATTTAAAACATTTTTATGCCGCCCCCATCACAACAAAGCCTCGGGGTGGCTCACAACAAATTCTTTGTGGACAATGCAATAGAAATTGTATTAAATGGTTCTACGTGCATTTCTATCAGTTTTTTAAAAAATAGAAAAAAGCATGAGCTTTTGATATGCATACCTCTTTTCCTTGTTAAATGTTTTATTCTTCCCAGTAGGGCAGCATAGACAAGCATACTTTGTGTTTTTAATGTTTTTGCGTGTATTACTGATAGTTGATAATGTGATGTATTTGAGAATTTTAAAATGGAAACAAACCCTGGCAAGCCCAAAATGATTCAAAATGAGAAGACAGAACCAATGCCAGCTGTCACTAAGTGCTAGTTAGGCACTTTTAGGGAACCTGGCATCAGTGCTTTCTTGTAACCATGGCAAGAGCAGTGATTGTCTCCGAGCAGCTTGATTATTACACTGTACTTCAATATTTTGCAGGATTCTATTAAGACCATTGTTAACCTATAGCATGACCAAATCTGTCCTTAAATAGTGGTGACTTCTTTGATGGTGTGATGGGGCAGGGAGTATGGCAATAAGACCAGATAACTTGATTGTTTGAGTGATAGACATGGAATGTTGTCCTTTCCCCATTCTTCTCATTGTGGCCTTCAGGCAAAACCAGTTGCTATTTGTGGTTCTCTGTTGCAGTTTTAGTGCAGCTTTCCCCAACCTGGTACTTCTCCAGATGATTTGGACATCAACTCCTATCAACATATGGTGAATGAGCAAAAACATTGGGAGTTGTAGTCAAAATATCTAGAGGACACCAAGTTGGGAAATGATGTTTTAGTACGTATTGTTTTTCTTGTAGAAGTGCATATGTATAAATTGACTGAAATTATAAGTTATTTGTACCATTCTACACTTAAATGCTGTAACTAAATGATTTTCTATTTGTTTACAATGGTTATATGGTTACAAAAGTTATTAAATTTTTATAATTGTTGTGGGGTGCTATGCAGAGTGCTTCAGCTTGCTTCTCCTGATGAAAGATTTGTAGAATTTGATTTCTGTTTCTATATCAGACATACAAATGTAATGGAAACCATGTAGAGTTTTCCCTCAGTATTTAGTTTCTGCTATTTACCAATTCTTTGTGGCAATGGTGATTGTTCTTGATAAAGTTGTTTAGCGTATCCAAATTAATATGTTTTCTTTTTCTTTGCAGAGTTTTCTTGGAGGCTTGTTTGGTCCCATTTGTGAGATTGATGTTGTTCTTAATGATGCAGAATCACGAAAAACAGCTGAAATCAAAACAGAAGATGGTAAAATAGAAAAACATTATTTGTTCTATGATGGAGAATCTGTTTCAGGAAAGGTAAACTCAACATACACCCAGAAATCAGTATTTCATAGAACATGTTGGTCAGAAACAATATTAATGAGGTTTAAATTGTTTATCATCAGTTAAATGATTTATCATCAGTTAAATGATTTTATTTTGAGGTAAACCCAGAGGTACACAAGCAGATTTCTATTTGTGCAGGAGATGTTTCCCTTGCACTCCCACTCTTGTAATGCCCTACCCACACAGCCCAAATCTACTTCAGAGAGTCTGCCAACCCTTTAGATTTGATCTACCACTGTTGTCAAAATTAAGAAAGCAAGTTGAAATGTATACTATAGGTGAGGGACTGCCAGGGGTGGGGACTGATTAAGATGATCTGCCCTCAGAGACCAAAAACTCTGGATGGTTTGTGGGATATTCTGCTTGATATGGCTGATGGCTCTCTCAAATCCCTGGTTAATCTCTGGAATACAGAGATTTCCTAGATAGTTGACACTTTCAGTTGATGCCCTCTCTGTACTAGAGTTTGTACAGTTCCATGGTATGCACCATACCTGAGAGCAGCAAAACTCAGGAGACAGCCAGAGTGCAGATGGAGAAAAACTCTATTAGATGCAGTTGAGCTTTGATAAGTGCGTATAATCAGGTATTTTTGGGGGCAGCTAATAAATAATACATCTACATCTATTCAGCCTTCTGTTTGTCACCCAGTGGAGCTTTTTCGGGTCACCCAGGGCTTATTACATGCTGGACCCAAGGACATCTTGGATGCATCTGAGGCTCACTGTAATACATTTGATATGCACTACCAAGATAAAATCTCTTGTATCACCAGAACTTGGACTCCAGCATTATAACAGTTGAATCAAGTGAAGTGCCCAGAGCACAGTCCAGTCTAATATTAATGGATGAGTTTCAGTTGGTTAAGTTTGAGGATGTTAAGGTGTAACAATGTCTATACAAGATCCATGCTCCTGCTCACAGAGAGGACAGCCAACTGGGCCAGGGAAGTGACCAGTGCCTTAAAGAGGAACCCCTCTCTCAGTCTGGATGATCCAGATAATTTTAGGCCAGTAGCAAATGTTCCCTTCTTAGGCAAGGTCCCTGAGCAGATGTTGGTCAACCAGCTCCAGGCACTCTTGGATCCAGATATATCTGTCTCATCCATTTCAGTTGGGGCCCAGACTGAAACAGCTTGGGTCACTCTGTGTGATGACCTGTGCTGGGAGAGATGGAGGAGTATGACCCTGTCAGTACTCCTGGATCTCTCAGTGGCTTTTGATACCACCAGCCATGTTGTCTGTCTGAGATGACAGTTTGAATTGAATGTGGGGTGTACTGCATTGCACTGGTTCTATTCCTACTTGGAAGGTCAGCTCCACTAGGTAGTGCTTCAGAATATTGCTTGGCTCTGTTGATTTTCTGGTAAGGGGGTCTTCAGGGATTGGTCTTGTCCCTGATGCTGTTCGACATCTACATGAAAGCACTAAGTGGAGTTTTGGAGTGAGTCATCATCATATGCTGGTGACATGCAATTCTGTTTCTCCTTTTCACCCTCCGCAGATGAGGCTGTGCATGTACTAAACTGGTGCATGGCTGCAATATAGGGCTAGATAAGGGTTAACAAATGGAAGCTCACACCAGGCCAGACTGAGATGCTGCTGGTGGATGGTTCCTCTAACTGGATGGAGGGTGCGCAGCCTGTTCTCAATGGAGCATGTTTGTTGCTCGGGGGTTTTCCTTGACTCAGCTTTGTCATTTGAGGCTCAGGTGGCCTCAGTGCCATGCAGTGCCTTCTCCAGCTTCCACTGATGGTCCGTCTGCATCTGTCTGAATTGAATTAGTCTGACTTCAGTAATGTATGCACTGGCAGTCTCTAAATTAGATTACTACAATGTGCTTTATTTGAGCCTGCCCTTGAAGCCAATTTGGAAGCTGCAGCTTGTGCAAAATGCAGCAGTTGGATTAAGAAATGGATCCAGAGGGTCCAGACATATAACTTCCATCCTGGCCCACTTATATCGGATGCCTATATGATTCCATGGCCATTCAGGGTGTTGGTCTTAATCTGTAAATCCCTTCAGGGTTTGGGTCCACAATACCTGATGGAATGCTTCTTCCAGCTACAATCTACACTCAATATCTGTGCCCTTCCTCTAGATTCCACCTCTGTATGGTGGTATCTGGAGGAAGGCTTGATTGGTGCTGACAAGAAAGTGGGCCTTCTCTGTGATAGCCCTCACATTTTGTAATGTTCTTTCCACTGAGGCCTGCCTGGCACCAACTTTACTATCTTTTTGGCATCAAGTTAAAACTACTCTCTTCGCTAAGGCATTTACCAACTCCAAATAATGCATGTGGGTGGTGGGAGGGTATTGCCAGATGTTTTTCTGCAGGAAAACCAGTTTTGGACTGGTTTTAGCTGTAGTTTTCATTTTTAATGCAATTTGATCCCATTTTATGGTTGTTTTATTCTATATTGTATTTTATTGTATTTATTACTGTTGTTCACAGGCCAAAGAGTTTCTAGTATGCATGTTTAACAGGAAATGCCCTATGACTCTCAGAATTGTCCAGCCAGTTGTATTTTTTCAGTCTAAACAGGCACAGGATTCTGTCCTAGCCTCCTTTTTTATTACCTAGTATTTCATTCAATACTGGAATAGGAAATAATATAGTCAACCTAAATATTTTTATTATCTGAGCTTTTGTAATTGGATAGTACCATATTAAACATACATGGTGTTTATGTTATTTGTAATTAGATACTAATTGTGTACTATTGTTTTGCTAATTAAAAAGGTTGGGTTGAGTATTACAATCTTCAAGGAGATAAAAACATTATGTTCTTTTTATGTAGAATATTGTACAGTTGTTTGAAATGAATTGTACCTAATACATTTTCTGGTGGACTGGTCCACAAGCTTGTCTTTAGAGGACTTTAGGTGCCATATTTGGTTTTGATGTGGAAAGGAGATAATAGTCTTTTAAGGACTCTGGAAATGATACCAATCTGATATCAGATGTTGCTGCAAATGTTGCTACCTTCGATTATGGGTAGTATTGAAATGTAATAAATAATAACAGTAACATAGGTTATATTTAGCATGTGCTATTTTTGCAACAGTAATAGTTGAAACATTTCCTTTAAGACAATGCCTGTAACACTTGCAAATGGCTAAGAGAGATTTGGCATAGTAAGGCTCTAATGTGCACAAGGAGATTTTTTTAAGTTTTAGAGCTATCCCATTTTCTTCTGCATCAGGGAATTCTCCATGGGTTCATTAGCTACTGGGGGTGTGAGCATTCCCTGACCTGAAGAACAATAACTGTGTGCACCTCAAGACATCGGATCAGGACATCTGTATTCTTCTATCCTGTTACTCCTCATCACCCTGTTCAGATGTTAGATGGGGTGGGGAAAGCATGCCATATTTATCTTTTGGACTCTGAAATGTTTGTCCTTTTCTATACACGGTCGTGCAGTCATTACTAAATAGTTACTTCACCTGTTTCTCTTCCCACAGTTATGAGCTTCTTATATCTATGTAACTTTTGTAAATGTGGGTAGGGAGAAGTGTTGTTTGCTTCCGGCAAGAGCCTAACTGTTTTTCTTGTGGAAGAACTTTGAACTGGAGTTGGAAGGAATAAAAAGTCATCTTACCTAGTCTAGCATTAGAACATAGAACAGGTAAAGACAATGAATCTGTAAAATGATTGGGTTTATCTGCTTTATCTGTCACAATTTTTCCTTCCCTGTTGGGATTTGTTGTTTTTAAACTATTGTCAGGTGTTCCGTGCCACAAATGTGATAGAAATGCATGGTATATATAGTTCTAAGAATCAGTCCTTGTGTAGAAAAGTACTGTACACCCATGCAAAGAAGTGTTTCATCAGTGCCTTGGTTTTTGCAGGTGAATCTAGTCTTTAAACAACACGGCAAGAGGTTAGAGCACCAAGGAATTCGAATTGAATTCGTAGGACAAATCGGTGAGCTACAGAAGTGTAATTGAGCATACTTTTAACTTAAATGCATATACCCATGAGTTATCAACATCACAGCCTGGAGTGATCACTAGGGCTGTCAAGATAATTGAATAGGAAGTATGTTGAATATGTATTTGAAATAATAGCACTTGAGATGGAGAAAAAACAGTGGGGAGTGTAGTTTGTTTTGTCAAGCAGCACTTAGAAGATTATTATTATGTTGGTCTTGAGATACAGTAAGTAAAGATAATACTATTTATTGAAGTAGATTCCCTGCAGCTTTAACATTTATTCATACAGCTTGTACATTCTGTTTCACCCGTAAAAGTTCAGTAAAATATTTCTGCCTACAATATGAGAAATGCAAATTACATTTTGGAAAAAAAAGTTATGTTAGATTGCCTTCAAGTTCTTGAGTTACTGCTTATAGATGGTTGTTAGTTGTATTTTCTAGTTGAATGGAAAGGCCTTGCAGTGTACCTGACATAGTGGCCAAGTTTTAATAAGCCAGGATCTGTCAGCATATTTACATATGCTGCCTGATCACTAGTGCTTGGCTTCACCTGGAAGCAGCAATGGGGAGCTACCTTTGAGTAAGAGGGCAGATAATCCCCACCCACTCCTTTGGCAAGAGATGTGACTTTACTGAGTGTGGACTTCCTCTGATTGGGAAAGGTCTGCCTGCAGCAAAAGTACCTTAACTGAGGCTGGGTTCTCCTAATGCTTTACTCTCTCTCTCCAAATGAGCTGAATCATAAACTATGATTTGTTGTTGGTTTATGATGCTGGCTCGTTTTGGAGATGACAAGCTAGAGTTTTCAATAAACAAACCATAGATGGGCCATTAGTTGTTTACTTGCTGTTGCTTTCAGGATAACCTGAGCAGGAGTGCTAAGGCAAGTTATGTAGGTTTGCTGTTTGTACATGATAAATTCAAGATCTTCTGTAACCCTGGCTTGTCATGTGTCTGAACAGAGCCACAGAAAGATTATTGAAGAAAGTCATGCTGCAAAATACTACATTTACCATTCAAAGTCTTTTTTTAAAGTATTCGTGTTACTTCTAGCAACATTGGATTTCTTATTTGTTTCCCTTGATACTTACAGCTATCCAAGTGTCAAGCCATTAAAACACTATTCTTCAGGAAAGCTTCTCTTATGTTGTCTTTCTCACTGTATTTTTTAATTTTGCAGAACTTTTCAATGATAAGAGCAATACTCATGAATTTGTAAATCTAGTGAAAGAACTGGCCTTACCTGGTGAATTAACACAAAGTAGAAGTTATGACTTCGAATTTATGCAAGTTGAGAAGCCATATGAATCCTACATCGGTGCCAATGTCAGATTGAGGTATGAAAACTGACAAGTACTTTTTCTTTATCTATTGTTACAGCAGTCCTATGTAAGCTGTAGTAGATAGTGGTATGCATAGATTTTTTTTAAAAAAAGAGTAGGTTGAATCAAAAGTGACCTCTCATTTGTGGAAGGGAGTTTGACCCAACAGAGCAGAAAAAATGGAATGTGATTTTTGTCAGTTTACCCCTGTAGCCACTTGCATTTTTAGAAAACTCGTTAGGAAGGTTGGGACTGCAGGGACAATACCATGCTGGAAAAACATTACTGATGGAGGACTATCAGTTTCTGTCATTCATACTTATTTATTTGCTGCAATGTTAAATAGAAGCAATATATACAAAATCTGTTGTGATAGAGGAAAAAAATCCCAAAGAAAAAAATGAGTGATCCTGACTTTCTGCATGAAATTATTGTCACAGTAACAAAACTAGATACTTTTAAAAGGCTTTAGGTGCTTTGTATTTTCAAACACTTATTTACCTTAATGGTAAATATTTTCCACACACAGCTTGTAATTTATTCTGTGCATCTTTTAAAAATAGTAAGCGATGCATCTGGAAGTTAAGTGCAAATGGAGTCACAAAATATTTTTCACTCTGCTTAAAGATCTGTAGCAATGCTGAATGAATAGAACTTTGAATAGCAATTTCCCATGCTTTGGGAATGTAACTAACGCCTATGAACGTCTTAATAGTGGCTTTGTAACAAAATAGGTAGAATTATGAACTGATTAGTTAACATAGCTTTAATATAATGTTCTGGTATTAGCTACCCTTTATGTGTTTGTCTATACCATTCATGTAATTCTGTTGTAGGTACTTCCTTAAGGTGACAATAGTAAGAAGATTGTCAGACTTGGTAAAAGAGTATGACCTTATTGTTCACCAGCTTGCAACTTACCCAGATGTTAACAACTCTATTAAAATGGAAGTTGGCATTGAAGATTGTCTGCACATAGAATTCGAATACAACAAATCCAAGTATGTATGACTCTGAATAAGCAAAACGTTTGACCTTGAAAACTGCAACCAGGAAAGATCTGTTTGATGAAAATACAGCACATAGCAATGATTACCACATGATTGTTTATGGTCTGTAAATAGGGATATGTAAGTCTGCATGGTTCTCTAAGCTTGTTGCAATCAGAAGGATTGCTGTTGTCTTGAAGCAGCTTTTCATATGGTTTTTGCAGTTTTTCAGTTGTCCAGAATAAAGACAAGTCTAAGCATGCAGAAGAATAAGGTGGTAAAGTCCTGAGTGTGATAAAACAGACTTAGAACAGCAGGTGGGAAAAATCTCATTTTATATTGTTCTCTGTTGTAAAGAAAACTGGACTAGAAAACAGAAAAATAGCACAGCAGAGAGTATACCAAGCTACCATCTTTTCCCCTGATGTACTTGTTCAGGAGGAGGAGACTTTTACAGGAACAGCATTCAGAAACTAATTCTAGAAATGTTTTAAATACATACATACATACATACATACATACATACATATATACCTGCAGCTTAGAATAGTAGTCTTGCCATCTCAGGTAAATGGGAAGAGTGATCCACCTCTCATCACTGAAGCTCAGTCTGTGGGTATGTACAGTAGTTTTGCCCATATTTTGGAACACCTTTTCCTGAGAGACAGAGTCCACCCGATGACATGTAAATTCTAGATGAAGGTCATTCTTTTTTAGTGGGCTCAAGGCCTCATTTCTAAACTCTGGTCAGAATTACTTATTTGGTGGATGGGTTTCTGGGCTTCGTTCTATCTTATTTCAGTTTTAAATTACACTGACTATATTCCTGTTTATCTATGATGAAACAGTGAGGTGTAGATCTTTGTAAAGTGCAGAGGAAGCCTAGGTCTTTTGCTTGCCTAGGGCTTTTTGTGCCAGCTGGTTAAGCAGAAAACAAGGGATCTCTGCTGCTCTCTGATGATATTAATATGTGGAGCCCTCTTGCTTATCTTTGGTACATATCTGTCTATTTAGTAGAGGCCTCTACTTCACTGCCAGTATTTATCCTTTAGCATGTTTGGATATGGTTTTACAGTGGCTCTTGAAAATATTCTGCTTCATTGGGGAATATAACTTTTTGTTGCTGCAAACTTTCAGTGGTGGGATTGTCCTTCAGTGAAATGAGAAAACCAGTTCAGTAGAAAAGCAATGAAAATACAAATATGTACCATAAAATTTTCTAAAATAGTTAATATGTCTAAATTCTAATATTTATAAGCCCTATTTCTTTGGTTTAAGGTATCATTTAAAAGATGTGATTGTTGGAAAAATATACTTCCTCTTAGTAAGAATAAAAATTCAGCATATGGAGTTACAACTCATCAAAAAGGAGATCACTGGAATTGGTAAGATAATAAAAAGGAAAAGGCTGTCAGTCTGATGAATGATTTTATTTTTAATTTGGGATGTTCTAAATCTATTTTTTCTATTTTTTTTATAATATTCTGTGGTACAGCATTGTGTCTGAACGTTTTATGGTTATCTTATGAAAAGTGAGTGTGATTTTAAAATTAACTACATGTAGTGACTAGATCTTATTTGCAGAACTAATTCAAAGTGGCCTTTGCATTGTTTCTGTAATTCAGGTTCTGGAATCCTTTGCTTCCACTTTTATCTATATCTGTGTATACTCACACTTTTATCTATATCTGTGTATAGCTTTTGATGATCAGCCATTGTTTTACTATCTTGAATGTACAGGGAGAGATGGAAAACCCTATTGTACAGTAATGTTGCATTTTAAAATGTAGCAAAGTTTCAGAATTATATAGCATGAAGGTACTGATGGCAGATGAAGGGGTCATAATGGCAGTAAAATACTGAAATCTGTTTAGATGGAAAATGGGGTGGTACCTGTTGCTTTAGTAAATTAATGTACATTTGATTGCCACTGTTTTAATGTAGCTTAGAATAGTCCTGGGGATATGAAATGTACAAATAACTTGTTAACTACCACCAATAGGAACTGTCTTTTAAAAGTTAGGAGCAAATGCTTATTTTCTGGTTATCTGTGCAATCACATAGACAAGAATGTTTGGTCAAGATTTGATTACTGTGGGCTTCTGGCCCACAAAAATATATACAAGTAAAAATGAATAGCCTGATAATTGTTTAACCAGGGCCCAGTACCACAACAGAGACGGAGACTATTGCAAAGTATGAAATAATGGATGGTGCACCAGTTAAAGGTGAGTCAGTGCATGCCAATATCTGTGGATTATTTTTATGCTAAAATGGAGGCAATTTCTTTAAAATGAATTATTTAAAATGAATTTATTTTTGTTTAATAGAGAATAGGATCATCTTGAACTCTAAATTGATACATATTGGAGATCTACAGCACTAAAGCAAGTAGGAGCTCATAATTCTAAGATTGCTTCTAAGACCACTTAATGAAAGCTCTTAATACAAATAGCATTTGTGAATATATACCTTCCTCCTGTGAAATTAACAGTGCCACAAAGATGCTTATTTTGTAAACTTTTGGTTACATACAGGTTACTCTACTCCCATGTTTTCTAAAATAAGCAACTATTTACCATGGAAAAGCCTATTTAAAAGATAGAGCCTTGTGCTGAGATCTGATGTGAGTGGTTTAAAATAGGAATTCTCCTCTTTTCTTGAAATTGTCCTTTAAAAATTCAGTTGCCTCTGAAAAAGAGCCTTTGCAAAACTATTTGAGAGCCCTCAAAACATTAATTGCCAGGATCTAGTCTAATCTGTTAAGGATTCCTTGTTATCAGCGAAACTAACTCAGACTTCTTTTTGTTTAAGGTGAATCTATTCCCATCAGACTCTTCTTAGCAGGCTATGATCCCACTCCTACAATGAGAGATGTGAATAAAAAGTTTTCTGTAAGATACTTCTTGAACTTAGTGTTAGTAGATGAAGAAGATAGACGGTACTTCAAGCAACAGGTATAAGCTTCTGCAGACTGGGCTAATATTATAAGGATTTATTTATTTTTGGTATTTTTTTCCTGTTAAAAATATTAAGGGGAGTTTGCAAGTATGAATGCTACAACCCAATAAAATATTCATTATGACTCTAAACATATTCTGCTAAAATAGCTATAATAAATCAGAATACTGGTAAAAACCTATCAAAGCCTATTGCCTGCTAAAGAGAAGGCTTAATGACATAATGTTTGCACACAATGGCTGTATTCATGTCTAATTTCAAGCCATTGCAGGAATATCTTGTGCTTACCAGTAAACATGGTGAACAGTGGTACATTTGGTTATTTTGAATCCCCTTGAAAAACCAATGCTTTGTTCAAAGGTTTCTGTGCTTCAACATTTCTTATTGTTACATGTGAACACATTTACAATGTTTTCTTGTCAATTTGCTTAAAACATGTTTCAAGCAATATAAAAGTACCTTTCCTGTTTTTCTGTTAAAGGAAAACTTTTACACTAAGCAACAGACTTGCCTGGACTGCTTGTTTAAGAATGTATTTAACTGCTGTTTTCAAATGTGGTGGAGGGGGTTTAATTGTAATATTTGGTTTGAAGCCACCTTTTAATGTTTTGGTAAGGAAGTAATCTTGTACAAATTGTTGCTAGTTGGATATATTTTATATAAAAACAATTAAATGCTGTAAATTAAAGAAACTTCATTTCATAAAGTAACACGCTTTTGTGCAAAAAAGAGAGCAAGCTTGACTCAGTTTTTAGTACAGCTGCTTCAGTCTCAAGTCTCTAAAATCTGTATTTTCTCCTGTTTTTAAATAGGAGATCATTCTTTGGAGGAAAGCTCCTGAGAAACTAAGAAAACAACGAACCAACTTTCACCAGCGGTTTGAAAGTCCAGAACCACAGGCATCTGCAGAGCAGCCTGAAATGTGAACTGGGTATAAGGGGTGAAAGAACTGTTGATAGATCAGCAGGTTAAAGGTGGCAACAGCCTGTAGGGAAGAAGGCCAAAATTCACATTACAACAGTCTTCCTCATCTTACAGTGCTGCATTTCCCACATTACTAAAACATTCTTCAAATAAACATTCAAGCGTGTATATACATTTAAAAAAGTGCTTTCTCAAACACTGGAACTTTCTTAAGCTATTTTATACTGCACATTTTACTTTTGTCTGGTGTGATGCACTCAGATATGCATAAAGCTTAAAAAGTCTAGTTATGTGTTTCCATGCATGTAGGCTGGTACATTTAAGTTTTGCTTATCATTGATGATAGACTAAAGCATTTCCTCTTCCTACACCATATTTCATACATACATATCATACATACTTCCTCAATGTCTGTTTTCTGTATCCTTGGAAACTTATTAAAATATGATGTACTAAAATGACAGATTCAGGGTTTATGATGAGGTTTCCCTGAAAATCAGTGCTTACCCCAGGGAAGTAGGTGATATGTACAAAATGTTACATACTTGAGATAGGTCTGTGACCATACTATTGTTTTAAGAACCCCTTACCTTTCTAAGGAATGTGCATAAGCAAGCTTCTTTCTGAAATTAGCTTTATAAAGAGGGTGGCTGCTCTTCTCTTTTTTCTTGTTAGCTCCTCCATCCAAACTCTATTATCAGGTTCCAATGTCCCTGAAGGCTCATATGCCCGGTGTTAAAATATTAAATTCTCCTATTCAATCCTGTTTTGATGGAGGGGGTATATGAGAGAAAAAATTTTAATATAGCTTTTACTGGTTACACTGTTGAAATCTGGGTCACATGCACAAAAAATAATTTTGCACTTTCACCATCATCCTTGAGACATCCCCCAGATATGGAAAAACATCCATTTTCCACTGTCAGGAAATCTATGCTTGGAAAAAGGTGTATTGAGTCCCAATGAGGTGTTAGAATTCTGTGTAGTAAAAGAACTTCTATTTTGTCTTTATTCTGTCACTGAATGAATTTTGTGTCATTGGACAAACCTTGTTAGTCTCCATTTGATCATAAATAAGCATGTAGCTTTCAGAAAACACACTTTTTGCTTTGGGCACAGCATGGAACCTGCTGAATAGAAGGCAACTTGCATTTATATTTCACTTGGCCTATCTACCAAGAATGTCTCTAAACTTCAGTGCAAGTGTTATTGGTTACCTTACTTTATGAGTAAGCAAAATTACTAAATTATACTTCTGTAAGAACTGTTTTATTATTATGGCACTTTGATAAAGCAGTCAGAGATGCTATGTGCTGGGATATTTCTCTTAATATGGATGTCTATGAGTGAGAGAAGTTAATTCCCTCATGTAAGTGCCTGTTCAGAACTTCAAACAAAAATGCCAAATATTTTCATGGACACTTGCATGCTGCAATCTGAAAACTATTCCAAGAAATTTTGAAAACTGATTGTATTTAACCAGCCTCAAATTGTGCAACTGTGTATAATAGATATAATGAACTGCTATTTGAATTATTAAAAAATAGCTGTATTCTCACTAAAATACCTTGAATGTCTTTAATCAGATGCTGTGCTATATAGTGAGGCTTTCAGTTCTGGCCACTCATAGAATTATTAGGTAACTTGAAGTCAGGATTGAAATATCCTAAATAGTATCTAATCTATTTTTGGGGAGAAGAGGTTTTACTGTCATCTCACAAGTTCAGACATTATTACTCTTGAGGGTGGGAAGTTGTTATTTTTAATGGATTGGATGCCAAGCTTTGTGCATGGATACCTTCTTATGGGGATTAGATACTTCCAACAGATTAGCATAGATCAGTTTTTCCCATATTGACCTCTTGTATTTATCTCATGTTGTACTGTATGTGCATGCTGATCCCCATTTGTTTCACTGTACATACATACATTTGCAGAGGCTAGCTCCTCTTAGGGCTATCGGGACTCTTGATCAGAACAATTATGGAATTCTGAATTGGGGCATTTTTTGAACCTAAATGATTTGTAGCTTAAGTAATTTAGTGATATCTTGACAAATACATTGCTGTACTTCCTAAATTTTAGCATGTGGGTGATGTGCTATTAATTTTTACTAATTTAGTCACAAACCTAATTTGACTACTAGACTAAGCCTAAACATGTTTAATTAATTCAACTTAAGTATGGGGTGGAAGCTGCGGGGTGGGGGGTGTTCAGGTTTTTATTCCAGGTATTTTGTTTTGGTTTCCATTTTTTCAAGTATTTAAAAACAATCCAGTCTCTTTTACATGCTGATGCAGAAAGATTGTCTACCTCAAAGATGCTCCAAGTCCAGCAGTCTTCGAAGTAATCCTAGTAATAAACAGCTTGCTAGCAACTAGTTCACGTTACAGGATGGTTTCTAGCACCAGCGCTGATGGCTGGACCACTCTACTGATATTTTCCTACATATACTATGACCAACGAGGTGTTGTTTAACCCTTAAGGATGGATGTGGGGGTTTCTTAAGGACATGGACTTTCCATCGCATATCCCTTACTTTTGGCAGTAAGCCTATTTACCCGATGGAGTTTTTTTAAACAGTAGCTTCTGTGCTTTGGCGGACCCTGTGTGTTTTTTCTCTCATTTAATGGTTGGTGTGGGACAAGACGCCTGATGTTTCTTCACGATGGGACGTGGACAGAAGGAGCGGTATACTGAATTTGTATTTAAGGGATGGAATGAATGAGAGGGCGGAGGACTTCATTGTCTAATATGCATCTATAAATGCTGCCTGAGGCTAGTGGAAGAGGCTTAGTACAGCGGGCAGAGGAAGCACTTGCTACAGCGTGATCTAAACGCACGTGGTCGCCTTGCAATAGACTTCACAGCAATTGGTTGACGTTGGCACCGCCTGAGGGGTTTTCTTCGCCAGGAGGCGGGCGGAGACATTAGTGTAGCTCCAACCAGGTGCATTTTCAGCGCTCCGCTTTTTCAGGCACTTTATTAGCCTTCCCCGGGAACTCGGGACGCCCGGCGATGACGACATAGCGGAGCGCCAGCGGCTTCGAGGCACCGCAATGATCGCGTCGATGTCTGCGGGCTGCTGCGCGCGGCTGCTTTCCCGGATCCCGGCGGGCCGGCTCCTCTGCGGCGGCGCCGTCGCTCTTCGGAGTCGGCGTGCCGGCCTCAGCCAGGCACCCTTCTCTCTCGCTACGACGAGAACCTCCTCCGCTTCCTCAAACGGAGATGGAGGCGGCGGCGGCACGGGCGTTAAAGCCCCGGACACTTCCCTCTTCGTGCCGGTCCAGGTGTCTCCTCCGGAGCCTGGCCCGGAGGGAGATGTGGGCGCCGAGCTGACGCGCCCGCTCGACAAGAGTAAGCGCGCGGACTGTGTGCAGGGAGAAGGGGAGGGGAGGAGACGCGCTGGGAGTCCCCTGTTCAGCGCCGTTTCGCGCTTGTCCTTTTGCTCTTGACTGCGCCTTCCTCGCCCCAGGGGCTCGTGCTTATCGGTGGGATGGTTGATAAGAGACTGAGGAGGGGGTCGTGAGAGGGTTGGCCCGGCACATGGACGGGGTCAGTGAATTAATTGCGCCTTCCCGATAACCTAATCCCTAAAACTCAAGCGGATTGGCTCGGCTACGGTGGCGTTGAGAGTGATGACACCAGGTCTGAGCTCTGTATAGCTGATGCTTTAGAACTAATCAGATTGCTTTCCCCTGGTGTTCTTCTGTTCTGGTGGCAAGCTATTAGTAGGTTGTAATTTCTGTGTGAAAAACAAGACATGGAAAATAAATACCAATTTAAAGTTAAAAAGCAATTTTTTGTAGGGTACTGGGGAAGAAACTAGAGGCAACTGATCGCAGTTTTCTAGCTGGGCCCTTTTGTTTTTGATGGAAATATCCCTTCTCTTAGTCAAATAATCTCTCAAGCTTTCTCACAGCAGTTAAGTCAGTATAGCACAATCAATTGGTGCTCAACACAGAAATTAAATATTTGATGCCTGTCAACAAAATTGGCACCCTGAAGTCTCCCCAGAGATGGCATCCCACAGCCCAGGCTCTGTTACAGTGAACGTCATATCCCTGTTCTCTTGTTATCTGTCCAATTTCTGATGGAGTATTTTTGGAGGTCTCAGTGGGCCTTCAGACTCAGTGGGAGTCTGAAGATAAAGATTTACAATACTTGAATTTGTATGGAAAAGAATAAGGTTCCATATATATTTAGTTGTGTTTGTGTGCTTTTTTGGAAACTGTCAATCTGTCTCATGAGGGAATCTTTCAAAAAGTGCATACATTCCACACTTTCATCTATTAGTGATCCCATATCAGTGAAGTTCTTGTGTATTTCCAGAAACCTTAACAGATGATACCATTGTGTTTATACTCCTTATATTAATTTAGTAAATTAAATACCATGAAGGTAAATATTGCAAAGATTGTCATTTTTCAAAGCAGGTATAAAGGATCTAGATATTTCTTGATCAAATACGTGAAAGGTGTAGAATAAACAAATGTGTTAAACCAGTTGGCATGACAGCATCTGTATTTTATCTTCTAGGTGAAGCACTGAAAGTATTAAATAAATTTTACAAGAGGAAAGAAGTACAAAGACTGGGAGCAGAAAATGGACTAGATGGTAGGAAATACATGGTTTGGGGGCAAACTGTTACTAGATGTTTACATGCCTTGAGAGAAGCACACGTCTAGATTTTATCTCTTTTTTAATGTTAAAACTTTCTAGGCAAATCCTGCTTCTAAAGCTGGTTATTTGAGACCAACAGTTTATTTGAATATCAGTTTCTAATAGTATGTTCAAATTATCAGGCATCTGAACTGATTTGAAATCTTTTGAGTATTTCAGTGACCACAGTCCTTGGCATGTAACTACCGCACACTAAATGTTGTTTAATTGTTGTTTCCTTTAAAAAGACTTCGTGCAATGCAACCTATATACTCAGAAGTAAGCCCCATTACATGCAATGGAACTTGTGTAAGTGTATCTAGAATTGCAGCCTTAGTCTACTGTTACTAGATTTTAATCAATATTTTAGGCAATTAAACTACTACACGCAATAATAAAATTAGATTGTTTGGATTTTTTCCCTTTCCAGGTCGTCTTTTTCATCAAGCATTTGTAAACTTTAGGAAATACATTATGGAGTCTAATTATTTGAGTCCTGATATACACATTATTCTAAATGATATATGCTGCAATGCAGGCAAGTATATGGGACATCCACTTATTTTATATTTATACTTTTTAAAAGTCCCTTATATAGCATTGGAAATGTTGTTTATAAAGATCTTGTAGCATCTTTGTTGGTATTGCATAGGGGCTGGAAAGGTTTTGTTTAATTAATTTCTTAACTGTGTTCCTGTAGAGATTTGGCCCACTCCTACTGTAAAACAGCTTTTCAATTCTGATTCAGAAGTGGGGGTGGGAGAGAAGTTGGAATTCACAGCTCAAATGGAGACTGGACCCAGAGATAAACCAGACAGTCTCTGTGAATAAGACAGTTTCAGGTTAAGTGGGATAGTAAGCAAGCCAAGTTGGGTAGGGGTGAACTTAACATCATTGCTCCAATCATACAGTTGGATTAAGAGGGCAAATGAACCAAACCACATCAGATATTTGCTGTGATTGGCCCCTGAGCAGCATGATCACCTTGTTCCTCAAAAGGCATTTTGGTTTTTTTTTGTTTTTTTTTTTTTTTGTGGGGGGAGTATAAATGCCAGGTTAAGAGCACTCAAGTTTTCTTGTGAAAGCACAGCAATTAAGAACTGGCTTCCCAGGTAATTTGTTAAGTGTACACTCCTATGGCATTGTCAGTGGTGGGAGAGTAGCAAATTTTTTTGCAGCTCTGAGATCCTTCAGTCTTTCCCTTCAAAGGCTAAGCCCCTGCCCTGTTTCCCCTCACAGTGGCATAGAAATAACCATGCCAGCTGCCTCCCCTGAGGTTGTAAATCCCCCCCAGGGGGGAGAAAAGGAGCATGCTGGGGAGTGGGCATCCCACTTTCCTTACCTCTCCCTGCCCACTTTATCTAGAGGGCTGAAAATAGGTGTTCAGAGGAAAATCAAGTGGAGATTGCTGCCACTGTACTTTGTTCAAGGCATAGGATGCATATAAGCCTCTGTGTTTGGTGTTTCCATGCATTGAGGGCAGGAGGTGCTAGATCTTGCCCTAAAGTGAGTAGCTGTTAACTGGCAAAATCCACCTAAACAGATTTAGCAAGGTTGTCATTATTTTGAATGCACTGTTGGGTGATGGTTTACTAGCCTGTTTTAAAATCCACTTTTCTCTTTCTCCCCCCAGCGCACGTTGATGATCTATTTCCATTTTTCATGAGACATGCAAAGCAGATGTTTCCTATGTTGGAGTGTATGGATGATCTGCGCAAGATCAGTGACTTAAGATTGCCACCCAACTGGTTAGCTTTTTAAGACTGTCTATGCATCTTCCCTGTGATAATTTGCACCAGTACCTATGTTGAGGCAATGTTTATTTCATGTTTCTGCCACGTGTTTAATTTTTTCTGTGCTTTGCATTACAATAAACTAGGGTTTTGATTTTTATTCGTTCATTTGAAAAATTGTACTGTGAAATCTTGGATGCTGAGGCATAAAATCACGTTATCTTATGTGATCATGACTTTTAATAAATAAATTTAGCATTCCAGTTTCAAAGGATGCATTTTCAAGTTAATGAGTTTCAGTCACATTTTTAAATGTGCTTAACTGGGTCTGGTTTGCACTCTTAACACCAAATAGACCAGGGATGCTCTGTGGACCTCCAAGGTATCAGTTTTTCTCCCCATGCTGAAAGACAACACCTCTTACCATGGATTGTATAAATTTCCTCTCTTCCCTGATTAGGTAGAGATTCTAACCCTCCTTGTTGGAGATGGTGGAGGTACAAACCTGCTTCAGTAAGGCAAACAGCTTCATTCTGACAGTAAAAGCAGTCCTTATGTGCAGAATGTTTGGGGAAGGCATCTCTAAGACATTCTTCTGGCATTCTTCTGAACAAGCTAAAAGTCATAAGGCCTTGGAATGGTTTCAAAAAACTGTACTGGCTTTCAGACACTGGGAATGTTCACAATGCTACTAATTGAACCTTAATAACCTTCTCACTGTTTTTCTCATAAAGCCCATACAATGCAACTTTAGTCTTAATTATTTGAGAAATTATACTGGGCATGCATTTATTAGATGCATAAATGGTATCTTTATCACCAGATGCTTAGGGCAACCTTTAATAAAACTAGGAGGCATAGGTGCTAAAATCACATTATACAACAAAATAATGTGATTTTACATCACAGCTCACAATAATACAAAAGAAAAAGGAGCTCTGATTTTGCCAAAGAGAATAGCTTGTTTTCTCAGTTCTTTCTGATGGCCAAGAAAACAATTTCCCCTTGAAAGAGCAATATCCTTTCTCAGGTGAATGACTTGGATGAATCCAAATAATTATGAAAAATAGGCCAAGTAGCACATATTGGAAAGGAGATGATCATTCCGAATGTATAAGCTGATTTTGTGACTTTTATGTATGTTTCTGTGTTCCAGGTATCCAGAAGCCAGGGCTATTCAAAGAAAAATTGTGTTTCATGCTGGACCTACAAATAGTGGCAAAACCTATCATGCAATCCAGAGATACTTAGGAGCAAAATCTGGAATATACTGTGGCCCTTTAAAACTTCTGGCACATGAGATCTTCCAAAAGAGTAATGACGCTGTTAGTATGACAAAGTATACCTTTGCGTTTGTGACTGTGTTGCAGCTTGTGACATTATGTGAACTGTTTTTATGATGTTCAAAGTGTGCATGATATTATTTTGCAGTTGCTTTAGTAGTACCCTAAGAAAGCATTTACGGCTATACCCGTACATTTTGTTGTATCTACTTTAAGAAGGGCTGTTTTCGCATGAGACAGTAGTGAATTCTGGCGCTGAAGTTGCAGAATTTGTGAAAGGACTATCTATAGTTTCAACAGCAGAATCTAGGCCTCATGATTGCTAAATGTGTGTGACTCTGTAACAATTATTTTATTAAGTTTCCTGTAACACTATCCCTTGAGAAAGTGTAAAACAATAGCAAACTATTCGAAGTCCAACCTCTGGCCAAACCCTGTACAGCACTGTCGACCCTTTAGGAACCTTAGGAAAATGCAAGGAAGGCCTTTCTTTACTCCTTTGTGCCAATTGTCATTACCAGTCCAGGGCTGATATGTGTTTTTCTACCCATGCACATTTTTTGCCATCATATTATTTTGCTGTCACAGTGACGAGAAACTTTTTTTGTATCCTATTGCTATATAGTTGTTTTGAGATGGAAAGGGTCATAGCTCAGTAATAATGCTTATAGGAGATTCCCATCTTTCTTTTCTTTGTTTATTTTTGTCAGAAGCATCACAATTAAAATAAGGCTTATTATAGAACATGTTATATTAGAGCTTATTATAAAACAAGAAATTTAAAAATTAGAGTATAAAATTAAAGCATAGACAAATTAGACAAATTACAACTCCTCCATTGGTTCCATCCAGTGTTGGTACTTTGTGGCTTTCTATAGGTCCATTATACCTTTAAATTCTTCAGAACCTTCTGTCGATCTAAGGAAGCTCTTCCTAGATTTTAATTTCTGATGGGCTGGTTAAGAGGGAGTGTTGTTTAGATATTGATATTTAAGTCTCTATATGCTGTGGCTTCTCTGTGGATAGTAGGCGGAGCAGTACTGGCAAGAGGGTAGATCTTATCTAAGGGGGTAGGTTTAAGGCATCCGGTGATAATTCCGCTAGTTTCATTCAATGCAACTTCTACTTTCTCAACATGTGCTGATTTATGCCAAACTGGGCAGGCGTATTCCCCCACCAAATGACAGGGAGCTAAAGCTGTTGTCTTGAGAACCCTTGGTTTAGTGCCCCAGGTAGAACCATGATTCCCACATTCAGTCTCCAGGTAATATTCAGAAAGGTGAAACTCTGTCTAGAACTATAGAGAGTTGTTGCTAATCTATGTGGACCAAAGATGCAGAACTTCAGATAGGGCCAAATGAGGCCCTCTGAGGTTCCCCAGACCATCTCCCCTTTCCTCTAGCCACCAATCATTTGCTGGTTTCCTGTCTTCTGTGTAGCCTTTTCTTATCTGTAAGATTATAAGAAATGAGAACTTTAGTGTACAATCGTATGTATGTTTGTACACTCTGTGTGTGTATTCACTTGTTATTGTTGGATCATCTGTAATGAACCCAAAACATTGTAAAATGTCTATAGAATAGCAATATAGTGAATAGTTTATAGTATAGTTCCTCAGGTCCAAGGGCCAAAGTCAGCTTTCCAGGATTCTCCAGATGACCAAAGCCCCTTTCTTCTAATCACTAACTGTTTGGCTGTTTCCCAGGTTTTGCACTTCCCCCATTTGGAAAGATTGAAGTGCCTTTTCTGTGGTGCATTTGCCAACAGTAAGAGCTTTAGAGTAACATGGACTGGTGTTCTTGGTACTGCTTCCTTTGATCCTATCACTTTGTCATGCCTTTTGTGCATTTGGTTTGACCAGCCACTGGTATACAGCCTCCTAGGGGTATACAGATGTTGTAAAAACTGTTTCATTGTGCTCCCTGGATTGTTAAATACTTTTTGCTCTATTGCCTGCTCATTAATAGAATTGGATTTTGTGCAGAGGGATTCATACACATTTGCCTAACTCCAAAAGAACTTCAGTGCTCTGAGTGTAGGCATAACTGGTTTTATATAGGCCTGTGGTCTGCTTCCACCGAGAAATGGAGTTAGAACATATTAGGTATACTTGTAGAAAGCACAGAAACGATACCTGTGGGTTGTACATTTTTAAAAAGTTGATTCATTCAAAGCCATGTGGAAGAATGTGCCTTTCTCTGCAGCAAGTCCGGGAATTCTCTGATGAAGAAATGCTGGCTAGAGGGAATGATGGGGAGGCAGGAAGTATAGCTGAGCCTGGGCTTCTGGAGCCTTCTCTCAGGGGCTTTTGACAGAAAGTCCCTAGCTTGGTTTCATCTGTAGAAATATTGGTTTAATCCTAATTCCACCCACTGATAGAACACTTTCATTAGCAGAACCAGGAAAAACATGGTTTTTTTTACAATTCTTCATGCAGCCTCCCTCATCAGATCCAAAGGGTCAACCTATAGAAAGCTCTAGCAGTTCTTTCTGCCTTGCTCTGTAGAGACTCTCCTGTGAGAGTCTCAACAGATACCTTTTTATTTCATTGTCTAATTGAAAATGAAAATTGTGCTTGTGGGCTTTTGTAAAAGGCCCTGATTGCCACATCAAGTGCTTTTCTGGACTGCCTCTGGTCCACTAATATGGGCCAGTGTAATCTCTTTGGAGAAGTTCTGTTGCTTATTCTTTTACTAGTAAACAATGTTGTTTCTTCTTCAGAAAGTGCCGTGTGACTTGATAACCGGGGAAGAACGAGTCTGTATCGATTCCGAAGGCCGACCCGCTTCCCACATTGCGTGCACTATTGAGATGTGCAATATTACTGCCCAGTGTATGTATGCTTGTACACTTTTAATGTTCTTTGGGGCTATAGAAGCATATTATGTTTTAATTTTGAATCTGCTTCTACAATGTTGTGGCATATTTTCGTTTAGAATTGATCCTGTGTGAGGCTGGATCAACAAGAATGCAAAAACAGTGAACCAATAATCATTTTAAAGAACTCATGCTAGATATTATTGCTTCTGAATTGTACCTTTCAGAGTTGGTTCTACAGGTTCCTTTTACCACATGTCATACTTTTTGTCTTTTTAAGATGAAGTGGCTGTGATTGATGAAATTCAGATGATTAAAGATCCTTCAAGAGGTTGGGCTTGGACACGAGCACTCTTGGGTATGTCTTTCTGAGAGCTAGCATTAACAAAAATATCATACCCTGTCAAAAGACCACAGCTTCCTTTCACATGTACCATATACAGCATCTATTACAGAATATTAACACAGAATATTAAAAATAGCAGTAAGGTTCGCAGAAGCACCATGTAGCCAGTGGCACAACCTCATCTGGGTGTAGTAGTTGTCAGCTTCAGTTTCATCTCTACTAGCAACGTTTGCTGCCTTTGTCAGTTAAGAAGCAATCCACATCTTAAGTCAGCAATTCTGTTAAGTTAACAAACCCTTTTGATCAAATGGATCAAGACTGTACTTAGTGGTTGCACCGGCCTGATGGACTCAACATACCTTGAATGGAGGCGGCCCTAGGAAGTCTCATTCCCTTCCCTTTGAAATGTTCCGCAGCATAGCAGCGTTATGCAGCAGATGGCTACTGGTGTGGCAGCACCGCTGGGAGCAACCGTGAAATCTTTTTCATTGCCATGAAAGCAGGGTGCAGAAACTTTGGGCACAAGAGCTAAATTTTATTCTGGATAAGCTCTTGGGGGCAAGTTTCCAGGGGTTGACAGGGCCGAAGGCAAAAGGGGTGGGCCAAAAATCCATTAATACCACATCTTTTATTTTAAAGCTCTTACTGCCAGTAGTGAAGACATAAGGGAAGCATTTTGAGAGGAAGCCTCTCTAAAGGCCAGTCTGAATGTTCTGCTGCCCACAGAAACAAGTGTATGCTAGAATTGGCGTGAATTCCAAGAGTCGTTTAAGGCATGCTCAAGGGGCCTGGACTTGCTCAGTGGAAGCCCCCTTCCTTTTTGTCTTGAATAGCAGCCCCTCATACAGTATCAGTTGTCTGGGGGAGCCCCCTTTAAGTGGGCTTACCTTGTGGGTTGAGGGGCTGCTGTTTAAGAAACAGACATATGGTAACCGTTGCAATGAGTATCACATCCATTTTGAGCTGCTGTTGGAAAATGGAATGCTGTCCAATTTATTCCTTTATCAAAGGTTATTAAATTTAATACTTTCCATGGATGCCTTTGCTGTTGTTTACTATAGCTGAAACAATAGAATAACAACCAAACCAATGAAATTGTGAAAATGTCAAAAGTATTAAAACATTAAGTGGATTAAGCAGTCACTGAAGTTAATAATCAGAGCAACAGATTAGGAATCAAATGCCAGCTGGAAGAGGAAAGTCTTAACATGGTGTTCAAACATATACAGCTTCCATATAGCCTGAAGTGCCTGATCCTGCTTAATCTTGGAAGCTAAGCAGGGTTGGGCCTGGTTGAAATCTGGATGGGTGACTTAATGTTGTGGACTGCCCAGAGAGTTTGGCTATTGGCACAATAGAAATTTAGTAATAATAATAATACACTGTGAAGATGCTGGGCAGCTCTCCTAGAAAAGCCCCGGGCTTGCTATAGAGAAGTCTGTTCGCTACATGTATACTCAGGAGCAAGCCCAGGGAAGTATGCAACCTAAAATGGAGACTAGATGTTATTGGCACTACTTCTGGAAGCTGTGTCAATAGACAGGGGGCTCCACTGTGTTCGCATTGCATGTGAATGGTGCAGTGTTAGTTTGGAGGCATACAAGGCTTGCTGGGCTTTCCTAGCTAGGGCAGTCTGCAAACAGAGCATCAAGATTCTGCTGCTACCATATGGGAATTACAAATAATATGTTTGCATGCGATACATGTATTCCATTTAGATTGCTTCACAGTCCTATTTTATTGGACATGTTTGTTTTGCTTTTGCTTTCAGGACTCTGTGCCGAAGAAATCCATGTTTGTGGTGAAGCTTCTGCTATCAGCTTGGTGACAGAGCTCATGTACACTACAGGGGAGGAGGTTGAGGTAAGCAGCATACTTTGGTTCATCTTTCAAACCCTGTTTGCTTAAAAGATTGATTTGTTGGTTAACTTGATCTAACCAACATATCTTCCATCAGCAACATTTTAAAATACAATCTTCCCAAAGGTGTTTTTGGCATTATATGCCAAGAATGCTTTTGAAGTGGCTGCCCTGCAGTTTGTGCTCCAAAAGCACAAGAATTAAACAAAAGTCCTCTCTTAATTGGTATCCTGCTTTCCACGGGGACAATAGGCAGGACGTTAGAACCACAGTTATTCCTTCCTGCTTGAGGAACAGCAGCATTTAGAAATGACCAAAACAAACAATAGAAACCAGTGGCATTACAGGAGTAGTAGCATCACCGCCTCCACCAAAAAAAACCCCACAAAGGCATAGAAATGTTATAATAATAATAATAATAATAATAATAATAATAATAATAATAATAATAATAATAATAGGAAAGCACTCCATGGGGGCTTTCTGTGTTTGCTTTCTTCAGAGGGCGTCCACTCAGTAAATTAACTGGATGCCTTGCTTAGGGCAGAAAAAGTAATTTTGGATCCTTCATTCTCAATGCCCATTCTTACGGCCTGTGAGCAGGTTCAGAAAGGAACTCTCTCTCCTCCCCTATCTTGCATCACAAGCTGCTTGAAATCCTGGGGCCTTTGAAACTCAGTTTGAGCACAGAGGACATCTTGTTGCATCCACACAAACCTTTCTGAGCTCCGCAGTAATTCACTTGATTGCTCTTGTTAATTACAATTCCATTATGGATGGGATTGTAAATGTTGCTGCATGTTTCTAGGTGAGAAATTACAAGAGGCTGACCCCTATAAAGGTGTTGGATGAAGCACTGGGATCACTAGATAAACTTCGCCCTGGAGACTGCATTGTCTGTTTCAGTAAGAATGATATTTATTCAGTGAGCCGGCAAATTGAAGCACGAGGCCTGGAATGTGCTGTCATATATGGAAGCTTACCGCCTGGTAAATACTCTTAATACATGGTGTGGGGGAAACAGCTCTGCTGTGAACCAATGAAATGTGAAGAATATGTTTTTAATTAGGGTATTGAAACTTGTAAAGCATGAAAAACTTCCTGACGGTTAAAGCAATATGGCCATGAAACTAATTACCTGGAGAGTTTGTAGGCTGTCCCACACTGGAAACATTCAGGATGCAGATGAAATCATCTTCCATGTAATTTGAATGCATTTGGAGGCAGAATCATAGCAAGGCATTAGTTGAGGCTCTGGCAGATCCAGGTGGCAGCTTCAAGAGTAAGGGCAATGTAAGGGTCTGCTGTCATGAGAGAGAGATGGGGCCACATATCCAGCCCCCCACATGGAGGTGCTGGTTCACACAGGTGGTGTTTCCGTGTGAGGACAAGTGGCATTCTCTGAAAGTAATCTCAGTGTGCCACTGAACTGGTCCTTTTTTGATACTACCTTTATTATTATCCTCTGCAGAGTGCTGTTACGGAAGGGCAGCTTAAAATGGAAAGTGCTGTATTTTAATTCTGAGTCAGTTAAAAATGTAAATGTAGCATCAGTTCAAAACATCCACTGTTATTGTGACTGTTCTAGGAACAAAACTGACTCAGGCAAAGAAATTCAATGATCCTGAAGATTCATGCAAAATCATGGTTGCCACAGATGCTATTGGAATGGGACTCAATTTGTAAGTATCCTGGGTGAATTGGATTTTTTTTACTTCAATAAGGAAAAATGTGATGCTAGATCTGAGCTTTTTAGGAATTCGTTTCTTTCTGTTATGTATCCCCTGTGGCTCTTTGTGTGTGTTCAAGCCTTTACGTAGTTAGGTGACAAACTTGACTGGGACAGGACTTCTAATTGTATTTGCCCTGTTAATTGATGCCGCTCCACCAATGTAAATATCTCTAGGTTGCAGGCTGCATAATGAAGCAGGTCTCGTTAATGGAACTGGCTTGGAGTTGTTTTGTCTGGCCACATTCAGATGTATGAGAGTGGGCATGTTTGTCGCAGAGCGTTAGAAGGACTTGAGGGGCAGCTGGAATTTGGTCTTTGCATCACTGTTTGCCTGTATCTTGACTGAATTTCCACAGTGCCCAGGACAGATCCTGGGTATGCAGCAGTCCTATACAAGCACGAAGGAAACCTGATGACAGAGAAATTTGGTAAACTGCTTCTGCTTATGACTGGACTGTCCAGAGATGTCTGTGCTGTTTGCAAAGTACATTTGGGTTCCCAATTAAACAGTGTGTCAGTTTAACTAAGTTCATATCTGGAGAAAGATGTTGTTCATCAAAAATTGCAGCATTCTTGTGCAGCTTGCATTTTATCCCTCATTTGTACTTTTATTCTAGGAGCATAAAGAGGATCATTTTTAACTCCCTCATTAAACCAACGGTAAATGAAAAGGGTGAAAGGGAAATAGATGCAATTACGACGTCCCAAGCTCTGCAGATTGCAGGCCGAGCTGGAAGATTTAACACAGTGTTCACGGAAGGGGAAGTCACCACTATGCATCACGATGACCTTCCTTTGTTAAAGGAAATCTTGAATAAACCAGTGGATCCCATACCAGTAGGTCCTTAAGTACTTTGTTCTTGTTACAGCTCTCTCAGCACTAGATCACCTGAACATGTGTCGGGCTGCCTTCCACAGGGACAGACTATTTATTAATCTAGCTTGGAATCATCTGTTCCGATTTGCAGCAGTTTTCCTGAGTCTGAGGCAAATGTTTTCTCCATTACTTGCTTCCTGTTCCTTCTCCCCGTGGGAGCATCCGTGCAAAGCGTGTGTTGCCCCACTGAGGTATGGCCCCACCTGAAATGACCTTGGTAATGCCATGGTTGGATAGACTCCAGAGCCATGTAGCTACTTTTATCTGCTGGCTCATAAGCAGGCAATCAGATTGATTTGGAATAAAAAGTAACTGTGGAAGATGCAGTAGCAATTTCCATGAATGGGAGTGAGGAAAGCCTGGCTCATGGAAATTAATACTACTACTGATCTTGTATTAAGCTTACTGCATCTTAAATTACTACTGCTTCTCATCTCATCTTAAGCTAAGATGTGAAAATGAAGATACTATCTTTAAGCTGGCTTTCTGGAGTCTTTTCTCTATGGAGCTCTTTGGCTTCCTCAGTTTGATAATTACATTCAGGTTGGTACTGTGAATGTTAGAACTAAATGGGCCACCTCATTGTACTGCAGCTTATTTGAGCAATGTCTTTGATAGTCACATACGTATAATAAACTTTTAAAAGCTTAATTCTTGTGCAAATGACTTTTCTCTCCCCTCCTTCCCCTCTTTTTTTTCCAGGCTGCTGGCTTGCACCCCATTGCTGAGCAGATTGAAATGTTTGCTTATCACCTTCCTAATGCCACCCTCTCAAACCTAATTGTAAGAATCAGCCAATTAACTTGTCTATGTGCAGCAGTTTAAAACAAGGGTATTCAACCCGTGGCCTTCCAGATACTGTTGGACTACAACTCCCATCATCCCTCACCATTTTGCTGTGCTGGCCAGAGCTGATGAGAGTCGCAGTCCAGCAATATCTGGAGGTCTGCAACTTGTCCATGCCTCATTTGAATGCCGACTTACTCTGCTTAGGACACAACAGTGGCCATCTTGAGTAGCTCTTTTGGGCACAGATGCAGAAACAGCTTTTTTGCAAGTTTTGCTTCTGCAACTGGTGAGCTTTGCAGTTTTTAAAAGCTTAACAAGGGCTTGTCTCTCTCACTTGGGAGCTGCAGTAGAAAAGGGCCGGCTGTGTATGTAGATTCCTTACATGCAAATAACCCTCGGGTTGTGGAATTCTGCGACTGGGCTGCACAACCACAGCATTTGGTTCTAGGCACAGAATTCAGTCTCTCTGAGACTCTAAGCTTTAATTTTTAGTGGGAAGCTTTTAGCCCTCACGTCTACAAAGGTAAACTTGGATGTGTATGGATTGAACAGGGATTTAGGTAGTCTGGAGAGGAAGGAGAACCCATGATGTTTAAAGATCTTTGCTCCTTCCTATAAACTGTTAAAAACAGAGCAAGAAAGTTGTAGAAATTGTATGTATTTATTTAAAGCTTTTATATACCATCCTATTACTGATGTCTTGGGACGCTTTACAACAAGCACAAATAAAATAAGATAAAAAATGGTACAGCATCCAGTGATAAATATAAAAACCACAGTTAAGACTAATTTACAATCAGAATAATGGGAGAAAAAGGTTTTCATCTGGTGCAAAAAAAAAAACCCCGTGTTGACGCTAGGCATACCTCTCCGGGGAGCATATTCCACAGTCAGGGTGCCAGTGCAGAGAAGGCCCTCCTCCAGGTAGCTACCCTCCTAATCTCTTTCAAGGACGGCTCCCGAACAAGGACCTCCACCTCTGATCTCAAGGGGTAGGAGGGCAGATAGGAAAGAAGACACTCCTTCAGGTATCCAGGAGCCAAGCCATGTAGGGCTTTACAGGTCATCCCCAGCGCCTTAAATTGGGCCTGGACGTCAATTGGTAGCCAGTGTAGGTGATAGAGGACCGTATTATATGTGAATACCTGCTGGTCCCCATTAATATCCTGGTCGCTCTGTTCAGAACCAACTGAAGTATCCCGACTGTCTTCAAGGGCAGCCCCACGTAGGGCACATTACAATAATCCAGTTGGGCAGTTACCGTAGTGTGGGCCACTGTTGCAAGGCACTGCTCATCCAGGTAAGGGGGCAGTTGGTAAATCAGTTGAAGCTGCAGAAAAGCACTCCTTGCCACCTGAGATTCCAGGGACAGCTCTGGGTCGAGGAGCACTCCCAAACTCGTCTCTTTTGGAACAGAACTGAGAACCCTACACGCAGGAAGGGCTCTGTCTACTTAAAGGTGGGGTGTTAAACTTTTTTAAGCCTAAGAACCAAACTGCATTGCAAAGGCAGAAGAGGCGAGGCCTGAAATACCCGCATAATTTAGCTTAAAAGTCTGACTACTGGCATTTTGACTTTTTAGAGTGAGAAAACTGCAAAAGGCAGGACACTACCAAATGGGCAGTGGATGGTGAAAAGGAGCTGGCAGATTAGAACCTAAGGCAGGCCAAATTTAGCCTACAGTTTGAGGTTCTGCATCCCTAAGTTAAAGAGTGCTTTTTTTTTTTTTTGCTTTTTTTTTATAAACAGGATATTTTTGTGAATCTTTCTCAAGTTGATGGCCTCTACTTTGTCTGTAATGTTGATGACTTCAAGTTTCTAGCAGACATGATTCAGCACATTCCACTTAACTTGAGATCGAGGTATGTGTTCTGCACAGCACCGATCAACAGAAAGCAGCCATATGTATGCACCTCACTTCTGAAGGTAAGGGCCTTGCACCTCTTTCATATTACCATGGGTTGGTGCATGTTTGTGAGTGCATTTTGTGGGAATAGATTATATTATACTTTAATGGTGTCAGTTACTTCATCTTCTGGGGATCTTAGCATGGTAAAACTTCAGAAAGAATCATGATTATAATTTAACATGAAGATTTCACTGGCTTATTCCTATTATAGGATGCTTCATTATTGTGCATTTTGTGACTTTAGCATTAAAGTCCTTGTACCCTTGCAGCATTAAAAACTCTTAACTGTTCTTTAGTGGGAAGGTAATTGATTGTTCTAAGCAGGACGTGTCATTTGCAGCAAGTGTGTGAAATTGATGGCGATTGCTTTTGCTGTGAAGACTTCTGTTGACCTCATTAGGGCTGTAGACAGTAGGTCCCTCTAAGCAACATGTTCCATCTCTCACTAGCTTGCTGCTTTAATCAGTGTTGGTTTGCTTAGTTTGGCAGAGCATAGAATGAAATCCAGGATCCCTTGCCAATTTCAGAGTATTCAGATATTGTTAGAAAATACTTCTGTGATCCACAAAAAGAGCAGGGGCACTGAGATCTCTTATTATCCCTATAATAATGGGAAATAAAATAGTGGGAGTTTATATGACTTTGCCTTCATTCTCTTTGCACTGGAACCAAAGCTAAGCGCCTGCAGCCCTGGAAATTTGCAGTTGGCCAAGGGCCAGCTCCATTAACCAACCCAGCTGACTGTTCTGAGGGGCCCATCTAAGATCCTGCTAATGAGGTCAACGTCTGCTTCACTTGCTGATCCCGTGAATGTGTGACATTTTGGGGGAAACAAAGCAGGAGCAGTTTACTGGGAAGTAGTTAGGGAAATGCAGAACTGAAGATTATTAACTATTGCAAAACAGGAGAATCTTTTGCCTCTTCTTTCCTTTTCCCAAAACATAACTTTTCAGTTATATTTTGCTGTTTATTAAAAGATGAATGGTTTGCTTGTCAGTGCTTCGGCTTCTGTAGTGAATCAAAACAGTATAAAAAACTTTATACTGATTTTCCCTTTTGATTAATATGGAAGTCAAGCAAGATATGGCCTGATTGAATCTGGATGGATGACTTACACGTTGTGAACTGCCTAGATTGCTTTGGCTATGGCCAGTTTAGAAATACAATGTGGTGGGGGTGGGAGTAGTATTATTTATTATTTGCATTTGTATACCACCCTAATAGCCCGGAGGGCTTTCTGGGTGGTTTACAAACATTAAAACCCACCAATCCTAAACAAATAAATGAATTGGCTATACCACGACAGTATAAAATAACATAGTTAAAATGAATTAAATAAATAAATATACCATTAAAATTAATTAACTTTAAAATATTGGTTAAATAAAAAGGTCTTGACCTGGCGCCGAAAAGCATATAATGATGGCACCAGGCGGACCTGTCTGGGGAGCGCATTTCATAGTCGGGGCGCCACTGCAGAGAAAGCTCTCCTCCGAGTACTCTGTCTCCTAACCTCTTTCAAAGAGGGTTCCCGGAGGAGGGCCTTTGCTGCCACTCTTAGGGGGTGGGAGGGCATATAAGGGAAAAAGGTGTTCCCTTTAGGTATCCTGGTCCCAAGCTGTTTAGGGCTTTATAGGTAATAACCAGCACCTTGAATTGAGCCCGGACTTCAATGGGAAGCCAATGGAACTGATAGAGAACTGGAGTTATGTGAGAATAATGACCAGTCCCCAACAGCATCCTGGCAGCTCTATTTTGCACCATCTGAAGTATCTGGACCATCCTCAAGGGCAGCCCCATGTAGAGTGCATTACAGTAGTCCAAATGGGAGGTAACCACTGCATGTGTCACTGTTGCTAGGCAGTTTTCCTCCACATAGAGACGGAGCTGATGGATCAGCCAGAGCTGAAGGAAAGCACTCTTTGCCACCGCTGTCACCTGGGCTTCCAGGAATAGTTTCAGGTCGAGGAGCACTCCTAAGCTGCAGACCCTGTCCTTTAGAGGGAGTGCAGCCCCATCCAGGGCAGGGCCCAGGTCACTTACCTGGAAACGTTGATCACCTACCAACAGGACCTCCATCTTGTCTGGATTGAGCTTCAGTTTATTGGCCCTCATCCAGCCCATTACCTTGGCACCGGTTCAGTACAGCCACTGCCTCACCTGGGTTAGTTGAAAAGGAGAGGTAGAGCTGGGTATCATCAGCATACTGATGACTCCGCAGCCCAAACCTCCTGATAACCTCTCCCAGGGGTTTCATGTAGATGTTGAACAGCAAAGGGGACAAAATGGATCCCTGAGGAACTCCATGGCCTAGCTGCCATGGTGCAGAGCCATAGTGCCCCAGCACCACCTTCTGGAATCGGCCGGCAAGGTAGGAGCGGAACCTCTGCCAAGCAGTGCCTCCTACTCCCAGTCTCCCTATCCAGGAGGATACTGTGGTCGATGGTATCGAAAGCCACTGAGAGGTCCAGGAGAACCAACAGGAACTCACTCCCCCTGTCCCTCTCCCTGCACGGGTCATCATACAGGGTTACCAAGGCAGATTCAGTACCGTAACCAGGTCTGAAGCCGGACTGAAATGGGTCCAGATAATCAGTTTCATCCAAGAGAGCTTGGAGTTGTCCCGCCACCACCCGCTCCAACACCTTGCCCAGAAACGGGATGTTGGCCACTGGTCTATAATTAGTGATCATCTCTGGATCCAGAGATGTCTTCTTTAGGACAGGCTTGATCACCGCCTCCTTTAAAGAAGCGGGGACCTGGCCTTTCCTCAGTGAGGCTTTAATAACCTCCTGGATCCAGGAACCAATCCCATATTTGACTTTGGTAAGTAACCATGAAGGGCAAGGGTCAAGTAAGCAGGTGGTTGGATGTACTTGTCCAAGCACCTTGTCCAGATCATCAGGCCTCATTAACTGAAATTCACCCAATAAAGCTGGACTAGACGGAGTTCTGGACACCTCCCCTAGAGGAACTGTATCAGCTGTGGAGTCCAGCTCGCGATGAGTCTGAGCAATTTTCTCCTTAAAGTGCCGGGCAAGGTCATCACAGCGGGCAATGAGTAGTAATAATAACAATAGCAACTACTACTTTAGAAGCATAGGCCACCCACAGAGACCAAATCTAACATCTGGGATCCTTCAGATAGGCATCCCCATTTCCCTTACCAGCATTGGCTTGGTAGTTTCCCGGCTGGAGCACAGTTCCCCTTCCCTCCCCATTCTGCAAAGACTTTTGCCTTCAGCCACATCCACCCCTGAAATGTGGGCCACAAAAGCAAAATGGGAATCAGGCCTTGAGCTGGAAGAGGTTCTGCATGTCTGGTTTGTACTATGGGCTGCTCAAACTGCTTTGCTACCTGTGCTGAGCGGGAAGCAGGAGAGAGCAGTCTGTTGCAGAAGGTATTTAGCAATGTGAGAGATTAATGACAGCATTGTGCTTGTGGAAATATTTATTGCTGAATCCATATTTTCATTTTCTAGTTTGCACGGCAGTTCAGTAGGAACGAACCATTGACATTTGACTGGCTCTGCAGGCATATTAATTGGCCCCTGACCCCACCCAAGAACATCAAGGACCTCGTACATCTAGAAGCTGTTCATGATGTCCTCGATCTCTACCTTTGGCTGAGGTATTAGAGTGGATGCTCCCCCCTCCCCCCCCCTTAATGTGGGTAGCTTTTGGGCATGAGGTTTGGAAGAAGAGCTAATTCAGACAGTGCCTCATAACATGCTACTGTCCAGCCCTCTTGCAAGACAGTGTTAATTTAGAATGCCGGGGTCAACTGCCCCTTGTCCAAAACTTCCCTGTAACCCACGACAGAGAGACATTTTCTAAATTAGTCTCCTCCTCGATGGGTTAGGATTCCATGTTCAGGGAGCTTTTGATAGGGAGACATTTTGGGTTACAGCTCCCATCATCCTTCACCATTGGCTATGCTGTCTAAGACTGGTGGAAGTCAGGGATGAGGTGGGATATAAATGCAGTGTGTGTGAGGGGGGTGATGGTAATGATAATCGCCATTCACTTAATGGGGGACAGAAACAATACTTAAAAGCAGAGAGTAGTTAAGAGGGTTGAGGGGGTAGTGGCTGGAGTTACGGACTATGATAAAGGAGGTCTGGTATCAAATTCATGCTCCCTCTAATCTGCCGCACATGACAGATGTGAGTATAAAACCTCCTGTGCACAGCTGCCCTTGAACATCTTAGAACAGTGGTGGTTTTCTAGGTGGCTTAAATAGATTGGGTAGGATTCAGACTTGGTGTCATATGGCTGCCACTCGAAGAAGAGGGTAAGGCCATGACTTTCATAAATTCTTCCTTACTGCTTACTCGTTTTGCTCCCAGAAATGCTGCTCTGGAAGGCTGGGGCACTCTCCGGATCAGCATGGCAGCTAATGCAGGAAGTTGGAAGTTGGCCTAGGTTGTTCCCCATGCTCTCTTCCTCCTCCCAGGGGCAGTCTCCTGGTTCCCTCTGCAAACTGAAGGTTGCAGAGTGGTAAGTCTGGATTCAGCCTAGCATATCAGCAGGCTACACTATTTAAACGTCACACACATAAGTAAAACTATGGTGTGATATTTAAACCTGTATTTAACTGTTTTGTCATAATGGTCTAGTACAGTTCTTCGCATTTATATGCCACCTTATCTCCTCAGAAGCCCCTAATATAGACTAGTAGTGCTAATTGGAACAGGCTGTGTCCACAAATGCTTAGGCCAGAATAAGTGTGTTCATCTTTAGGATACCACCCGATGAACATGGCTGTCCTCCTGGAAATACGTATATTTGTATCTTAATCTTACCAAAGAGGCTAAGAGCTTATCTAGTGAGATAAACACTGAGTAAGCTATATCTTAAGACTACTGAGATCTAAAGGACCTTGTAGAAAGAGGGAGAAGAGTTAACCTTTCCCAAAGTCTTTGTTTTCAGATTTTACCACCATACATGTTTGCTTTCTTACAGCTACCGGTTTATGGACATGTTCACAGATGCTGCCCTTGTGAGGCAGATCCAGAAGGAACTGGATGATATTATACAAATTGGAGTGGTCAATATTACGAGACTAATCAGAATTTCTGAAGACACTTCTGGGACTGTAGCTGGGTCAGATGATTTTCTTCTTCAAAGGGCCACCAACAGTGACGGGATGCCGAATGCCAAAACCCTTCCCCACGCTACCAGAAAGGCTTCCCCAGGCAATGTGAGATACCAAGCACAACGAAAAGGAAGGGGCGCTAAGGCAGTGGACCCTAAGCCTGCCAACACTCTGACTCCAGTCCATGGTGCGCTCACCGCCAGACTAATAAAGCAGGGGCTCCTCACCCAGGATATGCTGAAACAGTTGGAGAATGAGTGGCTACTTCATCGTAATGCGCATGCCAGCAATGCAGATGAAACCATAAGTCCAGACAAACACGAAGGGGAGAAGAAATAAAACATTGGCTTTTTTTTAAACAAAAATGAGTGTTTTGTCCTTTGATCATATTTTTATTCTTTTTTAATTCTCTTTTAATTCTCACCTTTATAAACAGCAAAAAATAGTCAGCTTTGAATTCTGTAATTCATTGTGCATTGTTTGAGATAGTGTGCATTGTTTGAGATAGTGCTTTACACCAGATGAAAGAAAAAGATAAGTGTGTTTCAGGTGTTCCATCTGAGAGGGAGGACAGGAGAAAGGGCAACTGCAGGAAATGGGTGAGCAAATGGCATTAAAAGAGCTTTATCAGTGTTAAGCAAAAGTAATAGGTGCAGTGACTTGTATTTCCATTAGTGTTGTTTCTATTCTATACTGTGTAAATTGATTCAAAGGAGCTGTAAACCTACTCTTAAAGGTTTAATTTGGAGAGTGCAACACATACTTGAGTTATGTTGCAAAGTTCAGGCACATTCCTCTAACAATGGAGCACAGTTTGTCATTCAGTTAATCCCACCAAGGTACATAGTTCAAAAGATTATAAATAGTAATATGCAGACTCAGAGGAAGTCGGATTAACAATGACCATCTGACTTAGATGGAAGGTCAGCACCTTTGAATGGCTTTCTGGAAGAAGGAAGCTCCTTGTATATTTTGAAAGTGTTTTTGGAGGAAAAGTTTTTTACTTAATAATAGTGACTTTAACTTCAGTACTCTTCAGCTGTGTCCCATGAACCTGTACCCCATATTTCTCCATACAAGGCCAACAATATTTCATGTGCACAAGCAGAATTAAGACTCTGACCCCCTGTCCTTTCACACATCCATACTTTGCCCTACCAGCCAGTTCCTACTTGCCAGTGTTTGCTTATGTGGTAGTCACAGCTCAGGGGAGCAGGCCCAGGGAGATGACTTTGCTTCCAGGAATGGCCATAATCCAGACAGGGAAGGGCTATAGCAAGGATTTAAAGGCTGAACGGGGCTCACAGTGCCATAGAAACCTCTTCAATATGATTGAAGTTGAAAAGTTACCGTATTTGTCATTTTTTTTTACTGCTTAAACACGGCCTGCTACCTCTGTCATTGTGAATTTAGCCCTAGCAAATAAGATTGCTATTTTGAGGAAGTAGTGATATAAAGTGGCACCAATCTAAAATTGGCTGTGTGGGGTAGAGGTATAAAGTATTCTGAAGTTCTGGAAGGATCTTGGCGACCACTTGCATGAGTTGGGGTGAGACTAAAAATGGGTGGAGTGAAAAGTGATGGGGTCTTTTTAAAAACCAAATACTATTTAATTAGCCTAATTTTCAGTTCATTTGCTTGTCCTTTTGCCCAAAAGTAGGATATCCTGCCATGCCATATTTTCCTGTTGCCCCCAGTTCAGAACAAAAGAAAAATAGATTGTACACTCATGCCTGTGTATCCAAGGTTCCCTCACATGTACCAGTACAACTTTATACTGGTGTTAAGAATGTGCTGAACATGGTAGCTGTTAACTTTTTGATCAAATGCTGTGGTTCTTAGACAAGGAGTGTTTATGGCTGGCAGGCTGTGATGAAGAGTAATGTATCCTTACTAGTTCCCAGTCTGCACAATGAAAGAGTACAACACAGATACACACAAGCCTTGAAAAACCTGATCAGCACCAAGCTGGCTCCATATCCCTCTTCTAGTCCCAAAGGTCTAGCATGGATGAGTGCCATGCGCCATGAGTTGTACTACAACTCCCATCATGCCTCACCATTACATGGACAAGCAAGGAAAGTGAATTGAGCCTGGGTAAGGACTTTTAAAATTCAGGGATTGAACTTTTGAGTAGCTCCTAACTGAATGTACTGTAGATATTTCCAGAAAAATAGGGCTTTTTTTTTCTAATGTGGAAAAGTTCAGTATATGCCAAGGAGCTCATTTGTGCCGTTCTGAACATTGCTTTTGGTGTAAGACGTAAAGTGATAATGTAACGTGCTTTTTTTCTTTGCAGAAAAAGGAAAGGGCATGCTTCAGTCTGCTCATCAGCTAGAATTGGTTGTCACTCCCTTACACCCTTGGAGGTAACCCCAGGGGTTGTACCAATGAAAATGTCTTCAGAGGGCATTCTTTTGCTTTGGCTTTCTTGTACTGCACTTTCTAGCTAGGAAACATTTGGATTGTGTACTTACGTGGAGGTATGAAATGAAATCTCATGTTTTGAACAGTGACTCTTTCAGAGCTAAAATATTAACTCTTCTCTAGGACATTCTTTGAGATTGTGCTGAGATTAGCATTTCCTTTAATTGTGTGTGCCCATAGTGTCTCCATAGTAACAGTTCTAAGCACTCAAGTTTGTTCAAGCGTTTTGAAGCCTGATTTGGATGGAAGTTTTCTTCTACGCTAATGATGTAGGCACAATTAGATTTGACGAAGAGTACCAGTTTCACATGATTTTAATGAACAGGGTTAGTACTGCATGAATCTCCGGGTAACAAGTTCTGGAGGTAACTAGCACAGAACAGAAATCTCCATCTGTTAGAGACCTAAATAGCAGTTTAGGATGCCTTAGGTTTGGGGAGTATAGTGATATAAGACTGGTGCTTTGCAACCTTGACTTTGATCTGGTGGGAAGGAGTGTGAAATTTGCAAGATATTTTAATGGTAAAATACTTTTATTGAAAATGTTTATAGATCATTTCTCTGTCCACCAAAGCAATGTACAATTTAAAATAGTTGTACAGCAATACAATAAAGTCACAGGAGGAAAATTGAATCTCCTTCAAAACAAGTCAAAGGACAGTACTGAAATCCATGGGAAAACAGCACTGTTCTTACTGCTCATCTCAAAGTTGGTAACTTGATGAGATTAATCTGGTCCTTTTTATGGAAGGAGCTCCTTAGGTGGAACTTTATGTTCTTGCCCAAGCTGACCGCATGCATAAAACTAATCCTGAATTTATCAACTCTGCTTAACTATTTGCTCTTTTAGTTCTAATGGAGAAGGCTTTCCATAACTATTCTTGATTATCCATGGTCAATAAGAATTGTACTCCTACTTTCCTTGTGCTTTCCTTTAGCTTAATAGCACTATTGCCTCTTTAGGTTATTCAGGCAGCAAAGTAATGGGAACCCCATATTGAACTTCCATAATGCATCCTTGCTTAACAGAAATTTGCGTCCTGTAGGCTCCATATAAGGCAAAGAATAGCTCCCCACAGCACTGTGCTGGGAAAATACAGCATTGTGCTACTGTTGACTCTCAATCCACACACTCTGCTTTCAAATGACAGCATTGTGAGAGTGGCACAATATTTAACCGCCCATGACCCTGGGTCCTAACTCCCTGGCTGAAGACCTGTGCGTTTGGGAACCTTTTGTTTATCCTCCTCCTTCAGGAAGTCATCTGAACAAAAGAGAGCATCGCTCCACTGGTATTGTTAAATGTTCTGTAGCGGCTGCCCTTTAATTGAAGGAGTGAGAGCAGAGGGAATAATGATGTCACTAGGGGACAATGAATCAATTGTTCTTCATATCTCTGTGCAATTGTGTACGTTAGAGACCTTCGAATGGAGGTGCAAGGAAGAGACTGAGGACAGAAGCTCCATCTCTGCATTTGCCAAACATCAGCCTGGGGGAATTTTTAGGGCAGCTTTACATCTGACATTTTACCACATGGAGATAATCACTGTTGCATAGTGTAAACACCTGTGACATCAGTGCTATGCTTAAATTGGGAAAGCCCTTGTTTGCCTTGGCTTTCCAGCAAAGGGAAGGATTGTGGCATTCTTGATGTAAGCATTGCTGCAGTCTTTGCCTACACCATGTGCATTTTATCTCCCTACAGAGAGCCAATCTGTTACGAAAAGGTTATGAATGAAACAGACTCTGCTGATGGAGTGAGGGAGTGCAACTTATAATAATGGCTGAGCATGCTCACTGGATTATGGACCTTTCTGATCTCCCTAATATGCGATTTCAATGCGACAAGTGAGATTTAACAAGTTTATTTATTTATTTATTAAAACATTTTTATGCCGCCCCATTCGCCGAAGCCTCAGGCCGGTTTACAACAATAAATTAAAACATCATAAATAACATTTTAAAATATATACATTAAAATAAAATACAAATATACAATATAAAATAAGCCACCCTGGCCAGATAAAATTCAATAATATTAACATTTAAAATGCTGCTTAAATAAAAAGGTCTTCGCCTGGCGCCGAAAAACAAATAACAAATAACAAGTTGAGGTTAGCACAAAAGCAAGGGCAGGGAGACAGATGCAGAGGTGGCAGAATAAGCTCTTAAGCAGTGGTTGCACATTCAGATTTGTGGGTGCAAATGTCGCAACCTCACTACAGGTTAAATAGTCCACAGTGGGTTGTCCTGTCCTACAAACAGACCCAGTGTGTGTGCTAGCCATCCTTCTTACCTGACTCAGTCCAGATGCTCTCTGGGCTTTTCTGCCACTGTCAGTAACAGCAAACATTAATTGAATTCCTGCAATTAATGGCATATCTAATTTGCATTTCATTTAATAAGTATTTTTATACCACTGGTCTATGACAAACAAAACCCCTACCAAGGTTGTGTACAACCTCTCAAAAAATAACAAAAAAGAGCATTTGCAACAACAACAAATGCCTCATTCAGACATTAAAAACAATTAAAAATGACTCGGGTGGTTTTAAAAGGTAGAGAGATGAAAGCAAGTCTATTAATGCCTATTGGATTTCACAGTGAAACAGAACTTGCATGTCCAGTGGCAGGTTATCATGGATGTACTAGAAGAACAGTGGAAATGAAGAAGTTAAAGGAAGCACTTTCCGCATTCTAAGTTTCAGAGGCTCTGGCTTTGGAATTCTGCACTAAATGGATCTTTCTTTGATACTGCAAGGCAGGTATGTGCCTCCAATTCCATGGTACCCTCCAAATGTATTGGGTTGCTTCTAAACAGATGACTCCTAGCATCTCCGCTTGATGTAGCCAGGTATCTGCCAAGGTCCCCCACTGCACCAGGAGTCCCCTGACAAGAGCCCCCTGGAATTGCTATTCTTCCCGTTGCAACCTGTTC